GTTCACCAGTACAACTCCTGAATAAACCTGCTTGGGAGATGCCTTAGAGCCATACTGTATTTCTGTATTTTGCAGGTCTCCAGTGCATTAATTGATGAAATTCGTAGATTGTCGATACTTGTTGATGAATTTGATAAACCTTTCCATCCTGATGCATTGGTAGTCAAACATTACAAAGACGTAAGTAATAAAGCTTATATTTATTCTACTCTTAAATTGTTAATTTCTGCATAGTATTTGAGAGCTTTTCCAAAAAAAGCCGATTCAAAGTGATAACATGTTGGATAGATGTTGACTGATACTGAAATCATTATTGAATTATAGACTTCTTTTGTTTTTGAGTCATTGAAAAATAAAACAATTTTAACACAAATTAGAAGTTTACCATAACATATTTTTAATGGTTTGCTGAAAGGTTCTGATCTCATGATCATAATCCGAATAATTAAAAAATGCGTGTTTCAATACACCCCAGAATGTTGAATTATGTACATGTGGAATTTTCATTGTATGCCAGATCCCTTTCACAGCTCAGCTCACACATCCTCAGCCAAATTCTCATCATACACTGTCCAGAAATATGAATATTTCACAGTGGTTATTTTTAGACAGAGTTACAATAACTTTCATAAAATTTAGTACCTCTGAAAGCCATCAAATTAGAAATTCAAATTTATAGTTATCGTCGTGAGTTTTGTGTGAACAAACATTGTATTTTATACTTGTTGTACAGTCTGGAATTTTACACAGTATTTCTAAAAAAATAGAGGAAATTAACTGATTTGATGATTTGTAAAATTATAACAGGAATTACAGAACCATATTGAGGAAGGTATTGGACGTAATATCTCTGCAAGGTGCTCTAATGATTTAACATTGTCAGTATCAGTGGCAGGCAAAGAAATGAAAGGTAAAGATGTCAAAATTAATACTGGAGTTCACTTTTTGGGGTTGGAAACTGATGATAATTGGCTGATGATGATTTTGACATAAAAATGTAAAACCATGGAATTTTTTTCATTTACATATTAGCAAAAATAACAAAAAAACAATTTTGAAAAGTGAAGGTAAAATATTCAACATAATTGTATATTTGGCAGAAAAAATATGAATCATCCATGAGTAAAACATGTTCCTTATTTTTAAAAAAATGTACATCATATTTGCATCAAATTCGAAGAGTTATCCTTGTTTACATTATATGCATGTACAATTTTGCATGTAGCTGAAATAAAATATTCTGGACGAACACTGAACGCTCTGATGTCATGTAGTCATTAATACTTGTTCTCTGTTCCGGCCATTATATCTCACTACATTATGACTACGATCAAGTAAAGATGCTTAATATTGAGGATATCATGAGGATACCACAAAGTATGCCTTCAAGACAGTACATGATTGCATCCACCTCCGCTATGAACGCTGTACTATTTTTGTTCCGATTTGTGTTATTCTCATCATAACCTTATAATATCCTACTATAAGTACTGTAAAATGAGTAAATTTCACTGGGTTTAAATTTCGCTGATTTACCATTTGAGACATATTCAGTGGAATTCACGGTTTTATTTATATAATGTGTTCTATGCTAAATTTTACATATTCAATGGGTTTTAATTTATTGCATTGTCCAGTCAGCGAAATTAAAACCCAATGAATAATTAACCCCTTTACAGTATTTAGCAGAAATATTGTCTTTGGTATGTTGTGTGCAGATAAATAAATGTATTAACTCATTTACATGTTATCCACAGAACGACTGAGTGCACTACTACCAGAAGAACACAAATCAGTGGATATCATTTTCCCACGCAGTGACTTTGACCTGAGTTATCGTCTTGATTGTCGTCATCTTTGTGGCGATTTTAAAGAAGACTTGGAGTTCAAATTCTCTCTTGGCTGGACGGCACTAGTGAATAGATTCTTGGGACCTAAAAATGCTAAACTAGCCTTAATGGGGTTAGATCACGTGGTAATTGACCTTTTTCACAGTCTTGCAGTGAATATTATGAACTGAAAAATTAGAAATACTGTTGCTTGTTTATTGAAGTCAAATGCAGATATTAGACTGGTTATGGTGATTGATCTTTCATAGACGAAAAGTTGTATCTGAATATGCTTTTGCCAAATGTAAAAAAAATTATTTTTATTTTTTATTTACAAATTCATGCCACTGTAATCAACTATATCTTTGGCTGCTTTACTTAAAATTAACGCACATGACAGAGATGGAGTGTGTCAAGAATTGTAACAAAAACTTCAAAACCAAATTATCATTATCCACATTTGGTTGAAAATAATTTTGTCAACAATGTTGAAGTTCCCATTGATTTTATTTTGTATATACTTTGAGTGTGCGCATATATTAAAAAAATGTAATGGTGGCATTCTAAAATTCATGTAATGGTGGATTTTCTAGTTCTCTGGTTGCTAAGCTACCATGCCCCTATGTGAAAGCAGTTGATTGACAGTTCATTCATTTCTGGCCAAGAGGGATAGGCTGGTAATTTAATGTAGCAGCTTCAGAATATGTTTTTATTTTAGATTGTATAGGCATTCACATCAAGTTTACGAATTTTCATGACAATTTGAAAACTTGTGTTTTCATTCAAAAATGCACAATGAACATGGACAAAATGTAGTTTATCTTTTTGTTAGATGTCTCTGGGGTCAACATTCATGTACATGTCTATTAAACTTGTGGAAAACTGAGTAAAACATGCTCAAATACAACTGGTTTATAAAATCAACCACACACCCCTTTTCTGTCGCAGATGCTTGTGCAGTAATTTAAAACCTCCATTGCATTGCAAGTGAAATGAATGAAACCACCTCAGTACTGACATCAGTTTGCACTTGCGATGTCATATTGGAGGTATGCCCTAATGTGTAAACTATAAATGTTCTTGTTATTGTAGATGCCCAAACCTGCATCTACTGTGCCATATTCATCTTCTCCAGAAGACATTATAGAAGCCAGAAATCAAGATGATTTAGCTGTCTCTGTAATGACTGGATTGGCTGCACTCACATCACAGACATCCATGGGGTTGATCGTTATTGCTGGAATTGTAAGTTAATACCCCCCTGCCTAGTCTATCATGCATGCAGTAAGTGTCAATTTCACATGTGAAGGGAATGAAAGTTACTTACCGGTATAATTGTTTTAATTACTGTATCAAAATTGTGTCTAGTATATTTAATTTATTTAATGTAGGTACTTGCATTTTAGTTGCATAAGATATATGAATAATAATCAGTTATTCATGCTTACAAAGCAAGACAAATAGCATGTGTGCATTGGCCTAAAAAATGAGATGTTCAAGATTGTTATGAAATGAATTATTTCCCCGGTATTTCAGCAGAAATCGGCAAAAAAAATCTGGAACAGCCTCTTTTCAACTATCATGTGCATCTGACCAGAAGTAGATAAAATATTTTAAACATCTCTCGGGGAAACATGATCATACCTTCAACATTTGTTTTAACTTGTCTTTGTTTCTCACTCATTCTTGTTGTCCATTACGATGTCATTACCTCTTCCACACATATATAACATACCGGTACTTACCATACACTGTATCATGTTTTTTTTTTTTAGGTTTGGAAGGCAGTGGGATGGCGTCTGCTAGCTGTTGGGTGTGGACTGTATGGTGCTGTGTATTTCTACGAAAGACTAACTTGGACCAACAAAGCTAAACAAAGAAAATTCAAAAAACAGTTTGTGGAATATGCCACCGAAAGGCTGCAGTTGGTTGTCAATTTTACAAGTTCTAATTGTAGTCACCAAGTACAACAGTAAGTCTTATTGGTAGTTATATATATACCAGGAGGTGAAGGGTGAAAGCCAAGGGATACACACAAAAACAATTTTGTTCATTGATGGTACCTCCTATAGTTAGGTTCTCACTTGCACCTGTTTAAACATTGATGTGTGCTGTAAATTGGGCAAGTTTTTGGTAACCTTATATTGTATGTGATTTGCTTAGTTGTTGTGGTAGAAATATAAGTACTAGTCCAAGAAATTCAGATTACATGAAAAAAATGACAAAATAATCACAATAAAATTAATTCCTAATTTATAGTTTTTTAAAGGCAGTAACTAATTTGTTAATAAGTTTATTGAATAAATTATTTGAACAGTAATTAGCAGATTTTCCAATATCTCATTTGAAATACATTTCTTCTGGTAAGGTTTATGTATGTTTTTTGTTTCATTACAGAGAGTTGTCATCCGGTTTTGCACAGTTATGTCATCAAATCGATATTGCTAAAGATGATCTGAAACAACAAATACAGTGTCTAGATAACGAAGTGGGAAGACAAGAAAGAATTCAGAATGATGCCAAATTGTTAAGGTAGGTACCACCAGTAGTTGTGTCCCACAGTAAATATTTGCAAAATGACATTACTTTAAAAACATTTCATTTTAACTGCAAGAAGTTTTTGCAAATTTTATTCTACACATAACCTGCTGATAGCTATCATATTCCGAAATGAATGTTGATGTCTTAATGATGTTTGTCTCACAAAAAATGGCAGTTTACACTATAATAAAATAAACGTAAATCCTTTCCAGATTGTTACAACATTTTGATTAATACCTGTTATCAATATTAAATTATATCCATTTGTCTAAAATTAATAAAAGAGATTATGAAATATTTTGACAGGAAAATTTGTGCTGTTGGATAAATTTCACTTATTCAAGTTCTACTAACTGACCAGTCAATTTTTTGCACCTCGAATTTGGCAACAAACATATTACTAGTAATACTTTTCTGAACACAAGGGTGGCATCCCATTCCATTTACGAGCTGCACTGGCTTTTCAACTTCTCGTTCTCTATTTTTAAAAATCGATTATTTACTAGTATGTATTTTTTCATATTCGCTAGGTTTTAAATTCCTGAGTTTTACAATGAAACAATGAGTGCTATGTTATTTTACATATTCACATTGGTTTAAATTTTGTAGATTTTATTCATTAGTAAAAATGGTGAAATTAAAACCAAATGAATAATTAAAATAAATAGTAATTGTATAATATAAAGCAAGCTTAAAAAAATGTACTCCAGGTGTATCAGTAACAAGACATCACAATTATGTCTTCTTGTTCCATGTCTTCTAGTAGGCCTAAACCTAAACCTAAACCAAAACCAGTTTCTAATAACATCATTTCAATATTATTCAACAGAAACAAAGCTGGTTGGTTGGAAAATGAACTGAACTCATTCATCAACCAATATCTTGAGTGTTCACCATAGCGACCTGCTGTACTGTTAAACAGAGCTCCCTAACTGTGTCTTGTACAGCAACATGGCTTCCTAACTGCCTAACTGACTCCTCACTTCGTGGATGTTGAGGTGTTGACAAATAATACATGTATACTAAGTAGGATAATATGCAGCTACACAATTACTAATGAATAGTTTTAGTATCAATGAAATACCAGTTACTATATTAAATTAATTATTACAATACAAAACTTTTAAAGCATGCCTGTTTAGTTTGGGGTATTCAACTGTGTATCCCCTTTCAACATCTGTATCCGAGTAAAAAATATACAACAGCAAATCCATAACTTTTCCAATTTTACCTGTCTGTATGAATATGAAATTATTATGATATTGGTTATAGACATGCACTTTCACAACTATCAGGCTGATACAAAGAACTGTGAGCTGTAGCTATGAAACATTTGAGTTTATTTTTGTTTTGGTACTATTAAAACATTAATACGTTGTGTCATTGATATGTGTGAATCTGAATGATGGGAATCTGTTCATTTTATTCATGATTTTCGTCATAATTATTTCATAATTAAACATTCATACCACAAAATGTGTTTTTTTATATCTCTGAATATTAATAAACCTAATCATATAATTTCAAAGTGCAAATTCCAGGTTGAACCATTTTTTTTAAATTTGGATTTAAAAGTTTAAATTTGTGAATTTTGATAAACATTGTTGCTATGTATTATAGCTACACATCTTGCCAAAAATTACTTTGCTACTGGCATAAATATAGAAGTGTGTGCGTGTTTATCCATACTGTGATTTAAAAATGCAACTATAATAAATTGGAGTAGACTGCTATCATTAATAGTTTGTTTATTAATGATTAAAGATGTAATATGAATGGAATTTTGATTACTGGTGTTTGGTATTGCATGTTGATGAATAAATTGGATTATCATGAGCAAAAAATGTTGTAATTGTAATAAATGCATTTTTTCGATAAAACAATGACATTTTCTAATAGAATTGAATTGATTGTTTTGATACATACAATAACGATCACTGCATGTGCGTATTCAATCTTTTCATTTTCGTCCAACAAAAACTATAAAGGTGTGCTGCAAATTATAATCTACTTTGTTTCTCAACATGCTGTATCATTCACCCCAAAAAATACATGTTTTTGTATTTATTTTTCAATAATAATAATTTCTGCCATCAAATTAACTTAGTTTATGTCTCATGAATAATTGATTAAGTTTATTTTTGCGATTAATTAGTTCTAATGAAATTAACCGCCATTTTGAAGTCACCTTATTCAGTATCCCTTTAGTTATCTAATTTTTGAATAGAAGACATTTAATATTTTTTTTTTTGAATTGCAGTGTAGTTCAATGACAAATCATTTAATACACTTGTATATATGCAGGAATGTGATGCTTAAAGATTGCAATGTACATATATAATAAGCTTGCCTATTCGTTTGTGTACTCATGTTTTTTCCCGTATACTGCTTTAAATCAATGTATATATCAGGTATCAATTTGTGGTTGCTATGAGTTGCCATGGTTGTGAGATTTTGTAGCATCAGCAATCCATTTGAAATCTGAACTAGCAACATTGAGGAATCCTGACAAATGTTGGTGGTGTAATTGTAATAATATTGATAGTTATTATACATATTTGAATCATGATGGAATGTATTATTTTTGATTCCTGCTTAAGATGCATCACTTTTTTCCTGAATTAATTATGAAATTTGCTTACTTGTAATTTTTCATTTGAGCTTTCTCATTCAGATGTTTTATTTTTTAATACTATGCTCTCTCAGCTAAATTTGCATATAGAAATGTACATGTTGACAGTTACAATGAATTGCGAATCTTCAAATCCCTTTTGGCTTCCTGATATTAAAACTTGTCTTTGTATTATGGCATATTATTTTAATTTGGTAGTTGTGTAAATAACACATTTTTTTTACTCCAGTCCAACCAAATTGCTTTAAAGTAATTAGCATCTAGATAGATCATCTGACTTTGTGCTTGATTATTCGACCAAAAAATCAGATACAAGAATATAATCCAGTTTCAGCACTGAGTGCACTGCCTCAAAATGTCATGTGAATAAAGACTGCATCTCTCAACCATTAAGTGGCAAAAATGGTCAGTTCACTATGTGTGTATCATTATATCATGTTATATTTTAAGAACAGTGCCCTCAGTGTTGAATTTCAAGTAAAAGGTTTTTATATAACGTATTGTAACAATATATAAACAAATCAATGGAGTGTCATGCAAAATATTCATATGCTAGTATTGTACTTAGCATTTACAAGTTTAGCAAGTAACCAGAAATGGATTGTATTTTGTTTTTGCAATGACGTAATAAAATCATTGTGCTATGTAAGAAGTCAAGTGCATGCGATTATTTCCCGGGTTAATAAATCTTTAAATAAGCACTTCTTGTGTGTCCATGTTAAATAACATAC